AATATAAATAATACAAAATATTATAAAGATACGAACTTTGAGGTATGTTATGTACATGACAGTGGTGGTATAGGTGTATAATATATTTATTATAAGAAATAATATGATTGTTTTCGAAAAAATTAATTTTTATAATTTTTTTTCCTTTTCTTGTTAAAATTCTGCATCACCCCTAAGCTAGGCCCATGTCACCCCGGTTGAGAACTACTGTGCTAGACACTCAACAAATCACGGCGACTATATTATGACTAGCACGGGCGCCCGAAATGTTATTATTATTTATATACATTTGATTTACGTCATTTGGCGTTTTCATGCCTTGACCCGGACGTCGCACTATCCGACGAAGTCAGATTGCCTACCAGGGTTGCTACGTCCAACGTCGAGGAAGGTGACTGACCTGCTAGACACCAAAACATATACCAATTTCTTTACTTAATTTTGCGTCAGAAGTCACACGTTGTCCGCTATCCGACGCTAGACCCTAGATCCTGCTAGACACTAAAACATATTTTCGCGTAATTACGTCGAGGAAGGTGACTCGGTAGTCGGATTGCTTACGAAATGTTTTCAATTTTTTTTCACGTATTTCATAACTTAATTTTGCGTTGTCGGTGACTGCAATGGACGCTGTCCCAGCCGCACATTGCCTACCCGGATAACATAGATGACTGACCTGCTAGACACCGAAAAATCAGACGGTGGCTATATGATTTGAATGGACAACCGAAATATTTTGAATTTTCTTCACGTAATTTATTCTTTAATTTTGAGTTTTCGGTAACAGTAATGAACGTCGTCCGCGATTCGACGCAGTCGGATTGCATACGTGATGACGTGACCCGGCCGTCGCACATTGTCCGCTATCCGTCCAAGTCGGATAGCCTACTCCTATTATTATAGCGAATGTCATTCGAGGTGACTGACCTGCTAGACGGTCGTATCCCATTTCGCCGCCATTTCATTTCGCCGCGGTACCATTTCGCCGCCAAATTAATCCCATTTTGCCGCCGACCCATTTCGCCGCATAAAATTATTTTTGTCTTAGAACATGGTTATGAATTTGTGATTTGAAAAGTGATAAATAGACACAGAGAAATATTTATCGTTTGAAACGATCTTAGTGCTATACTATCTCAATTCTGAAGTTATCGATTGATAAATCCCCAATAATTATACAAATAAAATATAATGAATAGTGTGTCTTCGCAGCGATAATTGCAAAGTTACCACAGTGTCATATGATTATCACCAGTACGTATTTGCGCATTTACAGTTCACAATTTGTATGCAGGATTAAACAAAAAATTTCAATACGTATATTATAAAACGTAAAGGTATAACAATTAATAGGTAATACTAAACTATAGGCGAGTATAATATATTATATAAATATAAAGAGTTTTTACTAGTTCTGACAGTCATGATTATTATGCATTTATGCAAATATCAATGCGTTCAAATCACTGGTGTTATCTACCACGCATCAAAATCTCATAGTTCACACTTCACGTCATTACAATAGGAATATTTAAAAAAAAAATCAAATAATTTTGCAGATTTGGGATAATATTATTATGAGTATTATCAATTGATGAATTAATGATTCATTTGAAAATATTATTATTACTTATTAACTACAAATAAAACAATGAATAATTGTTGAGTAACCTTAAGTTGAGAGTTAAAGAGTTACTTAAAAAATAAATTCGGCGAAATGGAACTGCGAAAAAATAAATTCGGCGAAACGGTACCGCGGCGAAATGAAATGGCGGCGAAATGGGAGCTGACCTGCTAGACACCCTAAAAAATACGGCGGCTATATGATTTGCATGGACGTCCGAAATTTTTTAAATACTTTTCAAGTAATTTATTACTTTTTTTGCTTTTTCGGTAACAGTAATGAACGTCGTCCGCGATTCGACGCAGTCGGATTGCATACGTGATGACGTGCCCCGACCGTCGAATATTGTCTTAAAGGGTGACTACGACCAAAGTCGAGGAACGTGACTGACCCGCTAGACCCCAAATACTATTACTACGGCGAACGTCACTCTAGGTGACCGAACTGCTAGATACCCACAAAAATTACTATATTATTTTTTTATCAAATTTCGAATTTCCGGCGGCGTCGTCGAAAAGACTCTGTCAAAAACTCTGCCCTGGCCACCACGGGCTACCACGTCGAACCGCAGTGGTCCTAGCCTTATCACACATCCTTATCACCATACCTCCTCATCCCCCATACACCGTGTCGGCTGAGACCCACGACCGCACCATGAGACCACCGCTGCTTCCGAAATCGACAACACTCGGGGCCCGGTCACGGGGGTCTGGGGGTGTCCCCCAGCGACGCTCGGAGAGCTAGTCTAATACTATAAAATGAAGAACAGCTGACTGATAATATAGGGGACCAATGGAAAGGAAAACGCCGGCTATAGCGAACCCATGGCGTAAAAAATGAAGCACTGCTCCGTTTCCCCAGCCCGCCGGCCGTGTCCCGTCGGTTCCTTATAGCGCGACCAATCGCGTACCTTCGCAGTGGCGGCGGTCGGTTTTAAAACGTTTTTCGTTATCACCTCTTTTCCTATCATTTCGCCGATTTTCGGAAAATTAGCTGTTTTTACACGATATCTTTTCGCCCTTTTATATACTTAATTCGAAGCCACCGGTGTGCGGTTTATATTCGTGCAATGTCGATCAATAAATACACTCCCGACCGGACTTTTTTGCCGATTTTTTCCTTTTCTCCCACCGTTTCGTCTATTCGCACCCGTTTGTGTCCGAATCGAGTCTTTTTGAAGCCGTTTATATGCGCTTTTCCCCCAAAATCGGTTCGTTCGCCTCGCAATCGCGTTTGGAAATTACGCCGGCGACCGACCAGCCGCACGCGTATATATACATGTATATACGTGTATAATTTAATTTTTCCTTATGATTTAATAATTATTAACGGAAAACGCTTTTCACACGCCCCGTTAAATATATATATGGGAGATGCGCGTATTACAAGCGAATTTTATGCGATTACATCGATGTACATCGAATATATCAGTAAACTGTTTACGTAAACTGTTTACGTCGCTCCGTAGTCGCACGGCTTAATTGTTGATGTTTTCACTGTCTTTCATATCTCAAACTGTGTCCGAGTAGGTTAGGCGTTAGGCAGGAAACACGTAGGTCCCGGGTTCAAATCCGTCGTACGCCGTCCAGGCATTGAAACCGTTAATGCCATATGGTTTACACGGCCGCCCAAATCCCGACTTTTTTTGCATTTTTTTTTCACGTTATTTTTCATATAAATTAAATAATAATATAATAATACAGGAACATATCGTACATTATTATTATTTAAAGTCATTATCATTTTATATCACACAATAAATAGGTACATATTATATTTGTTTTATTAGGAATTATTAAAATTGCATATTTTTTAAAATTTCCATGATTGTTATATAAATATAGTTTGTATTTTATTTCGGTTTGCCTTGAAAGTTAATCTTGATTTTGACTTGAGAGTTGAGATGACTGACTTGCTAGACACTCCAACACGGTTTTTGACTTTACACTTTTTACATAAGAAAAGGCACCGGACATGCGAAGGCACATACCACTCTATGTGATATACCTACTATATATATAGGTGATAGACGGGTTGCTCATTTTAGTTTCGTCTTAAACGGTGATGATTGACTTGATAGACACTTTAACAAATAACATGCAGGTTTTTGCAATTTTTTTTTAAATTAATATATATACACTATAGGTACATGTTTATATGTATTGGTTAATATAATAGTATGTATCTAACTATCTACCAATATGTTAATATTTTTTAGGAATTATAATTGCACATTTCTCAAAATGTTCATTGTTATATTATATCACACAATAAATACATATCATATTTGTTTGTATGTATATAGTTTGAATTTTTCGTAAGTTGTGTGATAGGGTTTTCACTTATAGCCGCTTGATGTCGGGTCTGCAATCCACCGCAGGTGGATTGCCTACCTGATATTCAGTAGCACATAGTCCGCGATCCGACGAAGTCGGATTGCCTACCTAAGTGGCTAACTCGAAAGTTAATAGATTTTGATTTGAGATGACTGACTTGCTAGAAACTCCAACACGGTTTTCGACTTTACACTTTTTACATAAGATAAAGCACCGGGCATGCTACGGCACATACCACTCTATGTGCAGGTATACTCTATATAGGTGATCCTGGAGATCGTATCCAGCCTATCCATTTACAACGTTTGTGACGGATTGCTAGACACTCAAACTTTTAACATTCCCGCCAAAGCGTCTAGCCTTATCTCCAATCCATATCACTAATCCTTATCACAAATCCTAAACTTTCGTCTTACAACCTTTGAGACTTTTATAATTCATTGTCTCCAAAATCGGTACCCACTCTCAGCGATTCCAACGGGCCCCGAGTTATACTTAGAGCTAGTATTATATAAAACGAAGTTTTTTATAACACAGTACTTACACAGTAACACTTGTACTTACAAGTAAGTATAAGTTGTCACTTAATACGATTATGCTTTATGATTACCTATCTAATATCGATTTATCTGAAAAAAGTCTTCTATTTTTTTATATATATTATTATTTATTATCTATGATAAGAAACGTGATTTTTCACAAATAGTGATAACAAATGTGAACGATTCTGATTGGTGGCGCAATTTTGCTCTCGAGACGCTCGTGTTGAAAATCGATAAGAGTATATTATCTTCGGCAGGTTATCAGTTTATCAGGCCACTTGGGGGAACAACTACAAAGTAGTTAAAATTGACATCTTCTGTTTTGTAGAAAAACCTGCCGCGGATATTGACGGTTGATCTATTTACAGATTATGATAATGTATGAGTCAAAATTTTCGTAATTAATGATTACTTTTGTTATTGGTTTTGGTACTGAACAGTAAACTACCCTTTTTACTCTATTTTGCGTTTTGTATATTAATTTTGTGTTACGTTAAAATGTCTAAAATAACAACATTTTTCTCGAAGACTGTGTCTACTACCGCTACTGTGTCATCGTGTACGCCTGGTAGTAGTGAGACTGTTGAGAGTGACGATAGTGTAAATCTGAAAAGATTACACAATGCCGAAGATGATGTGCAACATTTAAATAAAAAATTGAACACTGAGGTATGTTAATATAATTTACAACAATATAAGCCCAACAATATATTATGAAATCTGAAATCAGATATGCTTCTCAGCTTAAGTTTTATTGACTATTTGAAATCTATTATGTTTGCTTTACCAATAATTTATGCCAGATGCTTATTATTTCTGTATTTTTTACTTTATTTGCATGTGGTTTATATTAATGATGGAAATAATGTTGGCTTATGTAATATGCTTGGCCTTATCAAAATTTTTGCTGTGCTGTTATAATGAAAAATGAACACTCACAAATTACATTAATTGACACATGTATAAGTATAGATTATAAATGTTGATAACTTAATTACTATGCCTAATGACATATATTTATTTGTCAATCGTTCCCTAAGTGACGAAGAGAAAATTCTGGTAAGAATAAATCATATTTCATTCTGACTTTCTTTTAGAATAATATAACCTAACCTAACCTATTATTAAACTACAAATTGTTTATGCTTTAAATAGATATCATTTGACTTATTTATTAAATTAATATTGTGGGTAGGCAAATATAATATTATGTTATTCATTTTTAGGTTTTAAAAAATGTCTGGATTCCGGCAAAAAATTTTGATTTTCCTGTACAAAATAAATGTATGAAAAAAAAATTAAAATTCCAATATTCAGGGCTAGAAAAATATTCATGGTTGGTTTATTCAAAAAAAGATGAAGGGGCTTACTGTCGGCACTGTGTAGTGTTTTCCAAACATGGAGGAGTTGGAAACCAATTATTGGGGCACCTTGTACTAACACCATTTTGCAATTATAAAAATGCCCTCAAAGTAATAATAACTTTTAATATTTTATTAAATTGTGATTGCATTTAATATGCTAGGATAGCTTACAGACTACAGTATTGCATAGTGCACTCACATTTCTTAGTGATTATATTATTAAATTATTAAAATATACATCTAATTTATAATATTATACAGGCATTTCAAGATCATGCAAAGACTTCCTACCATGCATCATCTGTTTTAAAGTCCCAGAATTTTTTAAATATTATTGATCACACACAGCCATCAATAATTGAACGCATAGATACAAATCGGTGAGTTAACTAAAAAAAAATATATGAATTGGAATAAATATAAGCTTATATTATTTTTTAGATTGGCTCAAGTACAACAAAATAGGAAAAGATTAGTTCCTATTATTGAATGCGTTTTGTTGTGTGGAAAGGAAGAAATTCCTCTACGAGGCCATCGAGACTTTGGGAAAATAGTGATTGATGGTAATTTAAAATATATTAACTAATTTTCAAAATACTATTTACATGATACATATTTACTCAACAGATATGAACTCAAGGGAGGGTAAATTTCGTGCTATTTTAAAGTATAGAGCGAAAGGAGATGAATATTTAAGAAACATGTTAGAAGATGGTGGTAAAAGAAATAAATATACCAGTCCTATAGTCCAAAATCAAATAATTGAGGCTTGTAATAAAATTATACTTAAAAAGATAGTTGATAGAGTAAATTCATCTAAATGTTTCTCTATATTGGCCGACGAAACTACAGATGTAGCCACTAATGAACAACTATCTTTAAGTGCACGTTATGTGGATGATAATGATATTTTGCACGAAGATTTTCTTCAATTTTTTGAAATCAATAGTTTGACTGGATCAAATTTAGCTTCGTCTATATTGAATGGTGAATATAAATTGAATTATATAAATGGTAGGTGGATAAAAATTTACAGATAATATACTTTAATTTTTGTTTTAAAGGTTTAAATAGCTGTGGTATTGAGTGTGACTACTTGTATGGACAAGGCTATGATGGAGCCAGTAATATGGCAGGGAAATTTAATGGGGTCCAAGCTGTGATTAGAGCTACACATCCAAAAGCACTTTATGTGCATTGTGCAGCACATTCATTTAATTTAGCCGTATGTACATCAAGTAACATACAATCTGTTAGAAATTGCTTAGGAATAGTTGAGCGACTGTATGTGTTTTTTAACACACCTAAAAGGAAAAATGCATTGATCAATGAAATTGAAAAAAGCGACTCCATACCTAATTCAAATGCTAGGACCCTTAAAAGACAATGCGCAACAAGATGGGTTCAAAAATATGAGTCATTAAATGACTTTGTTGAGTTATTACCATTTGTAGTAAAAACACTAGAAACAATTTATTCTACGTGGGGTGTGCCATCTTCTATTGATGCTAATGTTTTATTAAAAAGTGTATTGGATTCTGAGTTTCTGGTTTCTTTATATGTTACAAAGGTACATTTTTAATTGGACATTTATATAAATATATATTTAAAATTTTAATATTTTAGATATTTTTTGCCTTTGGATTGCCTTTGTGTAAACAACTACAGAAAGGACGGATAGATTTAAAAACTACTTTAAGTACTATTGAATTATTAGTTAATACTTTAAAAGAAATGAGACAGGATGCAGAAAAAGAATTTCATATTTTATATGAGAAATTAAAAGTATGTGATTTGAGTTTGAAGTAATTTAATGTTGAGTATTAATATGTATTTAACTTTTAATATTTTAATAGAATTTGGCAAATGTTATTGGCACAGAAATAACCAAAAAACGCACAGCAAACAAACAAACAAATAGAGCGAATCCTCAAGTATCCTCTGTAGAAGATTATTATAGAGTGACAGTGTTTATGCCATTTATTGACAATTTTATCAACCAACTTACAACTAGATTTTTAAATCATAAATCCGTTTTTGAAGGTAATAGGTATATTGATTTATCTAGGTTAATATAAAAATTGGTATTAAATATTATGTTTTGTATATTTTTATAGGGTTTGAATGTTTATTTAGCTTAACATTTACTGATGCAGAAAAAATATCATTTGAGAATTTGGTTGAGTTTTATTTACCACCAGTTGAACATGATAATGCTTATGTCGAAATTAAAATGTGGAAATTAAAAATAACAAGTCAAGATGTAAACATGAAAAGTGGGTTAGTGGCACTTTTGAGCTGCCCAAAGATTGACTTTCCAAATATACACTTTTTAATTAAATTGTTTTGCACATTACCGGTGTCAACAGCAACACCTGAAAGATCTTTTTCAACCTTGAAAAGGTTGAAAACATATCTAAGATCCACAATGAACGAAGTAATCTTTTAATTATTTTGGAAAATATTTAATATCTACTATATAACAATATAACTAATTTATACTGTATTTTTAATTGTATTATTATGTAGACGAGGCTAAATGGACTAGCTATGATGTCTATTCATCGGGACATACATCTAGATGTTGATGAAATAATTAATGAAATGTCATTAAGTCCTAGAAAATTGGATTTTGTAATATAAATGTTGTTTTATATGCTTAAAAATAAATAATTAACATCAAAATGGATATATGTTAATTCATTGTAATAAATTGAATTTCTATATAAAAATATAAAATATGGTAAATTTATTTAGTAAAGAGTAGGTAATTGGGGGGGGGGGGCAAAGCCCCCACTGATCTGTATTATGAAAATTCCCCATGACAAATTCCTAAATACGCCACTGCACGAGTGTTGTCAGTGCAATCAAATCGAAAACAAAACACTGCACCAGTTCACTGAATTTTGGTCAAATCGAATATTTTTTTACACTCAGTGCGGACGGAAAACGCTATTAGTTATTTTGTTGTACCTAATTTATAATATCAATTCAACTTGCAGACTGTAGTAAAATTTAATAATAATATAAAATATCCAGACTGACAAACTGTCTTCTCTCAGAATTGTTTTTCGTATATAATGATATGAATTCAAATTTAACACTACCTATCAATTATACAGTGGGTCACTTGTAACCTACTGTACAGCAGGCAACATTCACTTACCCGCTTTTTTCAAATTTTAAATTTGATAAATTTTGTCAACATTTTAAGTTTAAATGCTTATAAAAAAAAGTTGTGCCTTTGTGTTTTTCAACTGCTATGGTAACAATATAATATCAGAAGCCTTGTATTAAGCTTTTTTGCCTAACAAATACAATTTTATTAATATTAATAGAAAAAAAAATCTAATAAATAATTGAAATTTGAAATTGTCCATCACCAGTTCAAAATATTTTCAAAATTGTATGGTGTATAGAAAATGAGAATATAAACATTCAATACAATTTTCATGTATCTCCAATTATTCGTTTTTAAATAACAACAAAATAAGAATATCGCTACATGAGAAATCAAACACTCATTATTTTTTTTTTTTAAAACAATATCCGGATCTTTTCAAACCTATCAGCAATAAAAACCTTAGAGTTTCAATTGTCAATTCAAGTTTTGCATTCAGTACATGCATTGGCTTTATAATTGAGTAGAGTTTTACAAACAGAAAATCAAGATTTAGTTGAGGCTGTTAAGTTAGCAGATGCAGCAAAACACGAACTTGAGCAAAGAAGACAATATTCTACAGATAACTTCAACAAAATTTTTGTGACTGTAGAAGATATTTGTAAGAAGTACAATATACCTGTCACTAAACCAAGACTTACCATTCTAACATTATAATAGACTCAGTATAGCAGACTATTACACAATTATTATTTACATACCTTATCATGATTTATTTATTACTGATATTCAAGATTGCTTCCTCAAACACCGAAATATTTTGTCCAACTTCTCATGTCTTTTTCCTATTGAAACTAAATCTTTAGACAAAGTTGCTTGTAAAACGTTGTTTGAAACCTACAGTTCAATTTTACACGACGATTCCCTAGAAATTTGGATAAGTGAGGTAGAAACCGACCAGTTTTTAAAAATATTCGAAACACCCTTGAGGCCCTCGATATTTGTAATGCAGATACATTTCCAAATGTTCATAAAATTTTACGTGTAATGTCAGTTTTGACTGTGACTACAACGACTAATGTAAGGTCATTTTCAACATTACGTCGGCTGAAAACTTACCTACAATCAACAATGGGTGAAGATCGGAGATCGCTTAAATGGACTGGCATCATTTAATATACATCGTGATATAAACGTGGACATAAATCAAGCACTGAATCAATTCTTTTCTATCCCTCGTCGAGTAAATTTATTGAAAAAAATATTTGTATTTTATAGTATTGTTCAAAAACACTTTTAATATAGGTACTTACAAAATTAATAATAAATATAAATATGTTATAATACTATTTGCTAATTATTGATGTATCTATTTTATACATTTTTACTAACCTAACCTTTTGTTTTTTTTTTCAGTTTTGAACCGACGGCGCCGCGGGAATTGCTTTCGCATTACTTCCGCGACGCCGCCATCGTTTATTAAATTTAAATAAATGTTACATTTTATAAATTTGTGTTTTGACATCTTTTGTTTTTTTGTCCCTTTATGGGCGCACATTTAAAATAATTGTACATTTTAGGGAATAAAAATATCATTGTTGGCTTAAGGCCCGCTATTTGCATTTTTTGACTTCCCGGCACGGCTTTGGTGCCCGCCAGTCGGAAAGTCATGTTCCTGTGTTCTTGGCCCGGCTTGAAAGCCAGCCGGCCTCGAGACTCGTACTGCGCATCCTTCTCCTTATGGTGTTCTGGAGAGTGCTCCTCACCATTGTTGGTTTCCCAGTTTTCCTTCTATCTCCGTCCTTGTGTTCTGTCTTCGTTCCGGGATCCGCTTGAGTCGCTGCGTCGCGTAGGTGTCTGCGTCTGCAGCCCCTACTTCCTCAGTCACCCTGACGATGGCAAGTCGTGCTGTGGGTGTCTTACTCCTGCGCAGCGGGCCCTCAACCCACTGTCGACAGTTTCGGCTGAGTTTTCGGGGGTGTAGAGAGTTAGAGAGTTTACACCGTTGTTCTGCTGAATTCCGCTCGTCACCCGGAATCTGTCCTCGGCTGTTGTTGGTGTCGGATGGAGGCGATGGTCGTGGACCGCCGGTATGGGTTTGTTCAGTTTTCCTTCTGGTAACTCCGTCCGTTGGTTCGTGCTACTCGGTGCGTTGAGTGCCCGGTCGGCGGAGACTTGAGGTTAGGTTACCTACTTGATTTTTTTCACGCTTAAGCATACTGCTATAATGGTACTGCTCCATCATTTAATACCTGTCAGACGCGAAGAGCATTAGCTCACAAAAAAAAACCTAACCTTACCTAACCTAACCCATTACATATCATAAACCCATGATAAAATTTCACCAAAAATATTACCTTTTGTTATTAAATCCATTAGTGTTTTCAATTTCAATTTAAATTCTCTTGCTATTAAATAATGTCGATCGCTTGGTTTCTGATGGAATAATAGTTGTTCAGTTATCTCAGGCCATTGACTATTACATGTAAATATCAGAAATAAGCAAGGCCTTCCATTGTTTTGCGTGATACAAAGAGCATCTTGGGTATATCCGTGCATAAGCCTAGGACATAAAAGAAACCTAAAACTTAGATATAATTGGTATCATCAAAACCATTGGGAATGTGCAAACTTCAATATCAACCAAGGGATTAAAACTAATAAGGATGGAAATTACATTAATTGATGACACAAATTCAAAGGTGAAAAACACAATTATATCAAGTATATTTTTTTATGACTGGTCGAATTTGTATTTAGATATCACTTATGTTATGGGATACTGAACAAATTGAACATTTTCAAGGAAATATCGACAATACAAAATTGTAAAGTTTCAGATTACTATGGAGTTAAAAGTCCATAGTATTCCTTATAAATCGAACTTCAATAATTGTAATAAGTCCCGAGATAGACGAAGAAAAAAAGTAAAATATTCAAATAATTCAAAATACTTACATTCAATTAATTAAATAAATAATGCAGTTTAACATAGTGGTACAAAAATAAGGGACTACGACAAAGGGAGGATATATTCATACAAATATAAGAGAAATTAGAAGAATCAATGTTCACAAAACTAAAAAATATTTCAAATCTAGAAAACTATACTGTTATAATTAAAACATATATATACCACTATAATTAAACCTATGTATTTATGATATATTCGATGAAACGAAATTAATAAAAAAATAATTATAGATATTAAAGTGGTGGTTGAAAAAAATGGAAAAATAAACACGATATGAGATGATAAGAGATGGGAAAGAATTTAAAAAAAAGAATATATACTTAATTGATGACAGCGATAAAGCAAGGCTCCAACAATAAAAACAAGAAAATAAGAAACCATTATTATTTTTACATTTTCTAGATGACACTAACCGTATGGAATGAAGATAGAGATAAACTCCTTGGGGAAACTGATAAAATCATAAAAATAGAACGGGTTCGAATTAATGAATTCAAAGCAACTTATAATGTAATACCTTCTAAAATAACAACGTATTTATTTATATAATATTAATTCATGATATTCATGAAATTTATTATTATTGCTTAAAGTTTCTATGAATGATACACGCTAAATTATGGTACGGCGGATAAGGAACAAGAAGAATCAATACCGTCCACATCAAAAATATAATTAAAGATAAACTAAATTAAAAATAATATCAAAAAGTAATTTGTATAATAATTCTATGTTAATAATATTAATTAAAGACATTTCCGACTTATTTTAGTAATTGAATTGTGGTAAATAAGAATGGATAATCATTCTATTTAATATCAGGTTAACTTAAGAAAATTTCTTCATTTACTTTAAATTATTGTAGTCAATAATATAATAATTGGTCTAATAATATACATTAGTTTAATAATCACTGCAGCTCAATAAATATAACAACTTAATATACAATTTCCATAGCTTATCAACTGACGGCCCGGGGTGAAGACCGGGTAACCCCAGCTAGTATACAATAAGTAAATATGATATGGTATAATAAAATAATATAAAAATGGCTTTGAGTAACGTATAGGAAGGCTCGCAGTCGAATTCCTTTTACAATGAATTAAATTGTTTATGAGTAATATAAATTTATTTTATAGGTTAAGAAGATCTCTGCACCAGTTGCGTTTGAGACGTCTTGTGGAGTGGTCAGGAAGAGGTTTTGAGGCCAATTGAGAGATGAGGTGGTTGTAGTTCATAAGGAGTTTCCCATGAAACATTTGTAGAAATTAGTGGCTGTGTCGCAGATGGTTTTGATTTGAAGGTCATCATGAAGTAATTTGTTCGTTACATAAAAGGGAGCTTTGGCAATGATAGGGAGACAAATTGATTGAAAAGCTGGAATAGTTTGAGCATTGGATTTTTTGGACTGGCCCCAAAGTATGATGCCATATGTCCACATGGGACAGAGGAGACATTTGTATATAAGAATTTGGTTTTGAATGTTTATGTTGTAAGTTCCTGAGTAGGTGAAGTCTGCTGTTTAACATTTTTCGTTTGTCCATGAAA